TAATTCTTTTCTGATGTGGAAGATCAGATTAAACTGCGACCACAGAGCATACTAAGAATATCCCAAATAAATAAAATATACAAGAAATAGGACACCAAGATTTAACGTGGAAAAAACCTCCAATTAGAGGAAAAAACTACGGGACAACCTCCGAAAAATTCCACTATATTTTCAAGATAATTACAATATCTTTTCACACTCCCCTTACACTAGAAATGTAAAATATAGTGACCCAGTGAGAACCCCACTCCAAAATAAGGAGTAATTAAGTTGATACCCAACCCGGTGTATTTTTCTCACACTCAGGATTTACTCAAACACTCTATTTTTCTTTCACTGAAAATAACACACACAAATGTTATTTCTACTCTCTTTTTCTCTCTTTTTCCTTTCTGCTTGGTGTGTTTCATCAAAATGAATCCCCCTCTATTTATAGAGGGGGAAAGAGCATGTGAACGAAAGAAAAAAAAAATCTGACTGCAACTTCCTCATTCTTTCTATTTTATTTATTTATTTATTTTTTCTTTCCACAATGGTGTGCTAATCCACCAAAACTGACTTTGGCTGGATTCTGACAGTATACTTTGTGATATATATTACAAATTCCAGACCAACTCCTACAGACTGACTTTTTTTTTTGGGAAAGAAAATTTTATATCAACCATATGAACACAATTACAAGCCGAGAGCTAAATAGCTCAATGTCTCAAAGAACACGAGAACCACACTACGGTGTGGCCTAGACCAATCACACATCTGCCAAAAGACAAAGTCCCAACATGGATATCAAGGCAGCCTAACCAGCTGCAACCTTGACAAACCACTACGACCGCACCTGAACATAAGGTACCCAGCCTGACAAGATAAAAAAGAAACACTGCAGTACAGCCAGCACAAATTAACGAAAATCGAAAAAAAAAAGAAAGTAACAACTTAGCTAACATGCCAAATCGAGTAACTTTAAAAAGCTGAGATTAGGTGCGCACTGAACCCAAAACCAGGACCTAGACTCCATCGCAATTAGCTCTCAATAAAGTCTTCTGCTTGTCTGCGAGATGAACTCTTGCCAATCTCTAGTTGTTGACTTCACAATCAAATGCTATGGTAACCATTCCTCTCTGAAGATCC